CACCTACCATTTAATAAAATTAAATAAAAGTTAATTAATTCTTCCATGAATTAAGAAATAATTTTATTAATTGAAAATTGAAGTTGAAGGACATTTTCGATACTTTCTGAAGTTCAAGGATGAATTGGTTAACAAATAAAAGTTGAGGAACCAATTTAGGTATTTAACCTAAAAAAATATGTTAGCTGACGTCAACATCACCTCCAATTAGTCCTTAAATAGAAAAAGATAAAAGTTGACCTCCTTAAATAAAAAAAGTTGAAAGTTGACATGCTTAAATAAAAAAAATTGAAAGTTGACATCTTTATTTAAAAAATAACAAAATTAATATCCTTAAATAGAATAAAATATAAAGTTAAAATCTTTATTTGTACCTTTACTCATGAGCTGGGCTAGCAATTCAACAAAAGTTTGCATCAAATAAAGGCCAAAGCCCTTATTTGCACCCTACACTTAATTTTTTTCGTGGTCAACACCTTCCAAATATTTTCCTCCCTATTCACACCCTCAACTTTTTAAAACCCGTGAAAAACCCAACATTTTAACGCGCCGTTATGGCACCGTTACAAAATGCACTACGTGGCATCCAAAAATTGACGTGGCCAATATGTGCCGTTAGTAATCCAATGTGGATACCTTTTTTGATGATGTGGCTTATTTAGGCGTTATATGATATTATTTATCTAATGTGGATGATTTTTTGATGATGTGAGATGATGACATGGCATAATTTTTATATGAAAATCTCCCAACCAAAAAAAAAAAAAAAATTAGAACAGGAGCTTTGGGTTTCAGAACCCAGCTGGGTTCCTCGTGTTCCTCGTGAGGAACCCATGAGGAACCCAACTGTGTGCTTCTTAACAGGGAAATTCATCACTCTAAATGTAAAGGCAGCATTTGAGAAGATATATGCTCTTCCAAGGTGTTCTTATTTTCTATGTTTGTTGTAGCTTGACAAAGTCGCTAGCTTGTGTTTTTTGTCACATTTCATTTGTATCTTTGCAACAACATATATGGAAATGAGATGGAGGAGAGTTGGTATTCATGAGTGGTGGAGAAATGAACAATTTTAGGTGATTGGAGGGGTTTCAGCACGTGTATTTGTTGTTTTTTTAGGGCTTTTAAAGGTTCTTGTCAGTGTTGATACAAATTTCTAACTGACTTCCGAGGTAAGGGATGATGAGGAACTATCCGCATTTAAGTGGAAAACATTACGCATCCCACCAACAACCCTGTTGAAAATGAACCAGATAAGAGTGGTGGCTGGCATCTTGAATGGGATAAATAACGGGAATGATTCATTGGGACCTTTGTGTGGGAAGCCTATCCTTGCTTTCTAGGTTCACAATGAGGAACCCAGAGCTCCTGTTCTAATTATTTTTTTTTTTTTTTTTGGTTGGGAGATTTTCACATAAAAATTATACCATGTCATAATCTCACATCATCAAAAAATCGTCCACGTTAGATAAATAATATCATATAACGCCTAAATAAGCCACATCATCAAAAAAGGCATCCACATTGGATTACTAACGGCACATAGTGGTCACATCAATTTTTGGGTGCCACGTAGTGCATTTTGTAACGGTGTCATGACGGCACGTTAAAATGTTGGGTTTTTCACAGGTTTTGAAAAATTGAGGGCGTGAATAGGGAAGAAAATATTTGGAAGGTGTTGACCGCAAAAAAAAATTAAGTGTAGGGTGCAAATAGAGGCTTTGGCCTAAAATAAAACTAAAATTCCAAAGAGTGGCATGCGTACAAGTCATACAAGAGGACCATTACATATATAAACTCAAAGACTAGCAAAAACCAACCAAAAATATTTTACTTAGATTTGGTGTTGACTTGTTCTTTCTGCAGCTCATCTATCCACTGATTCCATGCTTAACACGTCGCCTTGCGCCCTTGATTTCGTGTGAGTCTGTGACCATATATGCTGTAGTGACCTTCATACAATTTTTTATTTGGGGGGTAACCTCTAGATTTTTTGTCTCTGTCTTGAGTCACGTTCTTGGAAGAATAGATTCTTCTGTATTATACAGAACAAAAGGGATTCCGTTCCAAAGACATGCCTCCAAATTAGGAGGGCAATCACTCACTAATTCCCAAAAGGTAAATTACCAATATTTCCGGTAAATACCAGGAAGCAACATCCTAACCACAACAAGAAAAAGAAAAAAGAAAAAAAAAAGTCATATAAAGGATGTTAGTTATCAATTATACCACCATCCCTTTCAAGCACTTCTTTCTCCTCACAAACAGTAGTCACCACAAGCGGGCTTTTCTAGATGACTAAGTTTAGGTACATGAACATTTTTCTGGTTTGGTGCAAATGGAAGAAGAAAATAAATCAAATTAAGCTACTGTAAAAGTCTGGATATATTGCAAAGTTATTTCCTTTTCACATTTCTGTATGATTTTGTAATGTCTACTGTTTACTTGAACTAATTCCTATTGACTTTGAAAACCATCAATCAAGTGAATGTATGCCACCTATTATATGCCTGTGAGAAAGAAACTTAACACGTGTATGAGTAAAACTTTTCCAGTTTTGTGACTTGGTTACTGCAAAAATAGAATCATATGTCTATGAGATTTGTCAATCTGGTGAATTTGGTGGTGAGACAGCTGGCAGGGCTGCTTCAAGAGTGTGGCAACGTCATCTGATGATCCGAGAAGATACCGAGCTTTTGACCGTTACCGTGCAACAGCACAAGAGAAGTAATTGGCAGTCTCAACTTCAAACAGTTCAAGCGATACTGGCATGCCCCCCTCCACACCTTCCTTCTGTGGTGACTTTGAAGCAGATGTCTTGTCAGGCATTGGTGCTTCTGCGGAAAGCCCCGACTCAAAAAAAGTGTAAATGTCCTCATCCTGAAGCAAATGAAGAACATTTTACTTCCACCTTTCACATCAACAGGCATCAAGATCATGATCATATATATATATACACACGCATTCCTGCAAATATACACAATGCATTCTTCATTTGCATATATATTGTGATCATGAAGGTCTTAGCTAGTCATTTAAATATTAAGAAAAGATAAAATGGTAGAATTTCCGGTTCCATACCAATTACATGCATGACTAATACTTATATAATCTATAGAAAGGACACAGCTGATCAGAAATGGAAAACTGGAAATTAAAACACACCTTCACTAGAAAGTGCCCAATACACAGGAGATAATCAACTGACTCCTTCATGCATTTTCCATGAATTATGTCACCTAGGATACGATCAATTACCGCGCCCTGTATATACAGGAAGACCTAATATGGTTAAGAGACATTGTAATTTTGATTTAATAATGAGACAGGTGAATTGCATAAAACGCTAAGGCTTGTACCTTCGAAAACCCTACAGGTCGAACCTCAACAGATTGGCTACCTAGGACGACTTCAACAGGTGCATTAGAGATTGGACCAGTCCACAGATGCTGCAACAGATCTCTCGCCTGAAGTCTTCCAAATACATGATCTATATTTTCAAGACATAAATTAATGGATGGAATAAATGAATAAGAAGGTAATGCAGAAAGCTTAATATATAGTTTTTATTTAGAAGAGAAGAAATAAGGAAATGAAATTAAAGATGAAATACCTGCATACTTATAGTTCCAATTAAGAGTAGTTTCATTGAACTCAAAATGAGACCGAGGTGTTCTTTCAGTAAAATATTTGAATACATGCTGAAATCACAAATAAGAATCAGAAGTATAGAGTGCCAGGAAGGATATATCTGGATTATACCAAACTTCATCTGGTAAATATATGAGCCTTTAAGCTGTCAAGCCAACCCACATTCAAATTTTCAGGCATTGTGTTCTTCCACTCTCCCAATGAACTACGTAAAAACATGCCATTCTCTGCTGCCAACCACAACTTGTAGTCATTGAAGTTCTGTAAAGGCAACTATTAGTTCAAGATATAAATAGGCAAAGGGCAGTAATGATTATAACTGGCGAAATAAGATTTCATTTTCCAGGACATTTCTACCGCTCCCACTTAGGACAATAATTGTTGTCTTTGGATCATCACAAAGCGTCTTCAAGGGTTCTCTCAAAGCCGGATGCAATTTGAGCTCCATTTCTTTAATCTGACTGTCAGTCCTCACAATGCCATCTACTGGTTCAGTTAAAGTTGTATTGAATCCCTGAAACATAGAAGCATGATATTGCAATAAAAATGCTTGATACGATTAAAAATGCAAGAATAACATGGAAATGACAAAACAAATTGTTGTCTAGGGACACAATCCCCAATGTCATATCTGCCACTGATAAAATTCTTTTGGTAATGGCCTTCAAAAGGTATACTTTGAAGGGTCCAGTAGACCCAGCTAGCAAGAGAGAATCAATGCACATATATTCATGTCCTTCCAATTGATTTTAGGTTGGATTCTTTAATAGGTAAATGAATGAGTAGCATGATTGAAGTACAGTTTCTTTTAACTTCAAGTACAAAACGTTGACATTAAAAAAATCACTTCAGGATAGATCTGCCAGGGTAACAGAACAACAAATAGTTGGTGGTGGATAAATATCAGGTAACAAATGGACCTACAGCACCTCTCTATTATAGTTGGTGCTAGTCTACCACAATAACATTAGCATTTTGTTGAACTGCGCATGTTTAGTTGTGTGCAATGATGACTAAAGACAGGGATAAGGATCTTGGCGAACAGAATAAAAAAAAAAAAAAATCCACAAAAGGTTCAGCAAACTATGATCCATATAAAAAATTTCGAGAGTGGCCAAGAAATCTCAAGTCTAGCACTGCTCTGACTCCCAATGAATCGAATCAAATATGAAATTTATTGAATAAGATGTTTCTCCAACTCTTTCATGATGAATAAGTGGGCCACTTAATAAGCATAAGATTGTTAATAACTAATTCGAGCAACAACCAACAACTTGCCTACTTCTGTAAAATAATCACTCTGACATGAACTTCCAACACTTTACTTGAATGGCAAATAAATAAACATGTACAAGAATACATTAATAAATGCCATACCAGTATCAGCACTCGGTTCTTGGATTTGAAATAACAATCAACTGCAGTTTTAATAGGGAGTGCTGGTGGAACATGAGTGATCCTTAGGTTAGCTTCAACAATAGTATCATTAAGTTCACTACATAGCCAAATAATTCCGAATTAGATAAAACAACAAATAAAAAAATAATGAAAGTAAGAAGTATAATGTAGAAATGCTTTTAAGATAACCAAAAAAGGTAAGAAAGGACTTTTACCAAAGAGAAGATCAAATTTGAAGCCAACCAATAAGTGAAAGAAGGGAAGGGAGGATTCACTATACTTTAATGTGTCTGTTTGCAGGTTTTTATATTAGTTGTTCACCATTTGTCCAAACAAATAGATAAACACCTTATAAAGGTTGCAGCCCATTCTTGAGCTGAGTGTGTTGTCACATGCATGTAGTTATGATGGTACCGCTGTTCTCTTTCATCTGCTGACATTTCCAAAGCCTTGCCAATTGAAGAAGCAACTTCAGTGATATTCCAGGGATTTACCAAGATAGCTCCAGAACCAAGGGACTGCGCAGCACCAGCAAACTAAACATGAAGAGAAATATGATTAAAAAAAATTTACAACACAATTTTGTGGGAAGAAGAAGCAATTAGCTGAGATACACTGTTGTTAGAAATTCAACAAACCAGATTTAACATGGATGGAATTGACCTAATACGTGGACAAAATTGAAAAAAAAAAAAAAAAATTGGAAGCACCAGTGCTAGGAGATATTTCTTTAACAGTGGTTAACGAATTATTATATGAAAACTCTTCTAGATTTTGAGATATTTGACAAAATAACATTAAAAGAAATGCAAGGCCTATTTACTAAATAGTATTTAGCTTGGTCCTACAGAAACCATTCTTTTCCAAATTGGCAGCAGCAATACTTGGATTAATGCTCTTCTGATTTAATAATATCTTCTAAAAGCTAATTTAAAGACAAAATCATTTCTCCTCCAAGGCACTAGGAAGCAATACTTAGATTGAAGTTGTTCCACTTTAATAAAATCTGCTTCAAAGAATTTAACAAAGTGTTAACAATACACAATCCAAATTGGAAAGCTTTGAGCAGCTCACTTAAAATAAGGACCCCTTTCTTGGGAGCTTGACAGGAAACAAACTCATAGCTGACAAGGTTCACGCCATCTCTCAAAGATGTTACAAGAGCTGCATCTGTATAATTCTCAAATGAAAGAAGGAAAAAAAAAATGAAGAAAAAAAAAACGAGTACATCTTTAATCTCAAATTAACATTCCTATGAAATATAATAGGTAAATGTATGATTGATTGCATTTTATGCTACCATCTTTTTTTAGACAATTAAGACCAGAACATCAATTTCGGAGAATAACTAACAACCATCAATCTTAAGGAATAAAATAATTTCTTAAAAAGAAAAGAAAAAGATTATATTGTTAAATTTGCACAATTTAGTGGTACAGAGAATGAAATAATGATAGGGCTCTCTGTTTTATTTCATATTCCTTCCACAATTTAAATGTCTTATAGATCTTATTTTCAGATTGGAAACAGAAGAAAATTTATCATTCAACAAAACAACAACAATATGGTATAGATGATCTTGCGTGTAAGTGTTATGCAACAAAAGCAAGTACCAGTAACAGC